CATTAGGGTAAGTGGACAAACAGAAGTCTCATTTCCTATTTTTATAATATGCATGGAACCTCAGAAAAAAATGAGGACTAAGCTATAAACTAAACTACAAGAGTCTATGTAATGAGAGAAAAAATATAAAAAGTATGACAAACTGGGGAAGAACAGTCACTTGGACAGAAATTTGATGTTTGATCTCCAAAGACTATGAAGATTTTTTTCAACCAAATTGCTCCACAGAACTTTATGATGTCAGGAAAAATGACTTTCTAAGAGTAAGCCTAAATTTCTTTAGTACAAATGACCTTTAACACTGCTTTTAAAACAACTCTGCCCTAATCAGCCTTAAGCAGCCTAATTTGTGAATCGTGGTCATCATCCATGGAAGGGAGTAATGTGGTAAAAGAGCCCCTCTTCAAAAGCATTAACTCTCAGGGACAAGAATTTGAAAGTTTAGAGAGAAACTCCACAACTCAGAACCTGGTTAATGTGTACTTCCTCTGGCCCAGGCCTGGATTCAAGTTTTTTCTTTGCACTATTTAGAAAACGTTTGAAAAGCAAACTAGATTTTTAACAAGTGTACCTATTCTCTCTAGACCTCAGTGTTCTCTCTCTTCTGCTATATAAATGTTTTGGACTAGTTCTCTCTTCCAGAAAACAGTATTTGTAGCAGGTGTGTTTAACTTAAAAGCAATCACTGTCAAGTATCTCAGTGCATGATGTGCATCCAAATCAATGGCTTCATTACAATCCAATCTTACCTATGAAGTAAAGGAGGGACCACTGTCTAGCAATCTAAGTTATATGAATAATAATTATAATAAGGATAGCAGCACATGTTTAACTTAGCACTCACAGTATGCCGCGGGCACTGTGCTAAGCATTTTATACGTTCGGTCAGTTAGTTCCTTCTCTTGAGGAAGACGTTCTATTATCTCAATTTTACAGATGAAGGCAAAAGTGAAGTAACTAGACCAGGGTCAAGACAGCTGTCAAGAGGCACTGCCAGGTTTGAATCCAGGTTTGACAGACTCTCACAGACCAAGTTCTCAAGACTCCTCCACATTGCTTCTGAAAGAAACATGAGTTTTAAAACACATTATTCTTTAACCGACATGATCACAGACTATTAATGATGACCAAAACCCCTGATTCATGACTGAGGAAATAGAGATCCCTGGAGATTAAAAAAAAAACAGTTCCACTTTACACCACCTTCTTAGTCACAGAGACAAGATACTCAATTTCCTGACAATCAGTTTTGGTGTCTCTCTACCACACGAACTAATGAAGTTAAACACTCACAGGATATATATATTACCTGCTAAAACCCTGAGCTCTCATCTGGATGAACACGGCATTAAAGTACGCTTAAATCACTAAGCAGTCACCATGGCTTACAAATTTTAGGATGTCTATCAAAACTGTTTTTTTTACAGTGAACCAAGGAGAATTATGGATCCAAAGAGAAACACAGAATAAGCACTAGTGAAAACAAACAAAAAACAGGTCAAGATACTTTGCTCAGTAAAGTCATCTATTCCACATTCCACATAAGACTTATTACTAACACAAGTCAACTCTGAAGTGACAGGTAAGCCAATCACAACCACAGATTTTAAAATCAGATTAAATACAATCAGATTCAATGTTCAAAATAAAGATTGCTTTTTTAAAAAATTATTACCTCAAAAAAATTCACCATTAACAATTTTCTACATCTATGGACAACTGATTTTTGATACGGGTGCTAAGACCATTCAGTTGGGAAGGTACAGTCTCTTCAACAAATGGTGCTGGCAAAATTGGATTTCCATATGCAGAAAAATGAAGCAGGACCCATAGCTCACACCATACACAAAAACTAATTCAGAATGGATGAAGGGCCTAAATGTTAAAGCCAAAACCATACAGTTCTCGGAGGAAAACAATTTTCTCTTGTGTGAGAGTCATAATTTCATTATTAGTAAACTGTGATACTAAAAACCAACTAGGAATAAAAGCTGACTTGCTAACACACGCTTTAGAAAAGAAAAAACTTGAGCGAACTTCCCATCACTGGTCCTCTGCCTTGTAAGGGGAACAGTACGGGAAAGAGTACCAAAGAAATAGGTTATAGATTCTTCCTTTGCATGCTTACTGGTGAGATCATGGGAATATTCACTTTCTTATACAGAAAAACACTACTCATTCAAAATAGATTATGCTTTGTTGGTGTAGGAAAGAACCAACCAGAGGTAGAACACAGTAAGCACTCCTCTCTCTTATTCTATTCTGTGATTACTATTCTAAAAGAAACCAATGACAACTCAACATAAATCCTACGGCACAGAGCATGGAAAGACAGTCTGGACACCACACTGCGAGAACAAAGCCTGAGTTAAAGGCATAGTGCGGTACTCTGGCCTTTGTTTTTAACTCTAAATGATAAAACTTTTTCCTTCATTGTAAACATATTTGGTATTTTAATTACTAAGTTATGCCATACTCCACTGATACAGTATAGTCTAAGAACTGAATCAGCATTTTAGGACTACAGTGCTCTGTCTACTTCATTCACTGCTTGTAAGAGATGACAGAACTGAATCTTCCTTGCACTATGAAGAGAATATCTAGCCCCAACCATTGGTTTTCAAAGCTAAACAGGGTCAAGCTGAGATACTGTGGTTAACTAAAATCTGACTTAAAAAAAAATGAGTGTCAATTTCTTCCATTCACACATCTTTACCAGAGAGTTTAAAAACAAGAGAAAAAGAAAACGCTTTCTGATGAGTTTTGCATCCACCTGTCCGTTCAAATTCTGTCCAAAACTCGGGCAGGGAGAAGAAAAAGCATTAACAATCACATCCTCAATTTCATAGTATTCCTAACTTGTACTCATGAAAAGAACCTGTCTCATGTCTAAAGTCACCTAAAAATCACTAGGAAATAGTAAAGTTTCACAATTTTCAGCCATCTCTAAGAATATGTTCCAACTGCTCAGCTTGGCAAAACAGGGTTGAAATTAACTTCACACCAGTTAGATTCCTATCCAGGACTTTAAAACACAAAATAAGAAATGTGGAAGTGTTAATACCAAAGATCTGATCAACTGGCAGTTTAAGACTCTGTAGCAGAACATGCACAACGTTTTATTTTTTAGAATAGTAGGTCTCTACCAAGTCTATGCTCGTCCATGTTCCATTAAAAAGTACAAGGGCAGTTCAAAATGTGGTCCTACTACATTTGCTGTTTCAAAGAAGAGTACAACTCCAGAGAAGTCAGGCCCATTCCTAACAATGCAGAGATAAGCACCAATACTTAAAAGAATGTTAAAAAACTAATTTCCATGGTTGTCATCAAATAAGCCTTTTTCCTTAGTCACATCCAACATATTTAAGTAAAAGCTTCAAAATTAATGTAACCAAAATATACCAAAAATAAAATTACTAAAATATTTATGGCAATTGATTTTTAAAAATATGTGTGGGAAACAGTGACAAGTTTTATGTTCTGTGTATTAAAGATGGATTTGACCTACAAAAAGAAGATAGGGTCAACCCTAAAGTAACCAAAAACAGTATGCTTCCCCTGGTGGCCAACCAAGGAATGGAGAAACCACGCATAGAAGAGAAAAAGCCTGCCCTCCTAGTCCTATGCTGTCACTCTTATGAGAAGTGACTACCAAAAAAGGAAGATGTGGGGGAAGGGGAAACTATCAAAAAGACTAACGTGGATTTAAAAGGAATATAAATCTGGGTGCCAAAAGATATATATCTAAAAGATTTAAATCAACAGACCAAAATTTAGAAGGCAAATTTGGGAAAAGTCATTTATTTCCAGAGTGCTCAACAGCTCACCCAGGGATCTCTATGTATTTTCACTTCAGTGAACATCCAGAGTTTAGTACCTTAAGGACAGCTTAACAGAGATACACCTTTTTCAAGGACTGGAGTCTTGCAATTTTCTGTAGTCTTGTTTCCAAGGAAAACCATTTATGCATTTTTTTCTTTCAGATAAACCAGTGGTAGAGCCAACGTTGAGATGAGAACCTCCAGTTCTAAAGCCCTCCAACCAGGAGGACTGTTAACTCCAGCTCCATAAGATTCCCTTTTGAATTTCATTTCTGAAATAAAATCCACGTCCTTTCAAACATTTTCTGTACCAACAACCTTTGGAAACAGTCTCATACAGAGGCAGGCTAGAATCTCACAGCATTAAAATCCGACGGATTCCTTTGTCTGATTGGATTTTTTTTCTTATACCACTTTAAATTTGCTTGCACACAGAATAACAGCAAGGGGAGTGGATGTTCTATTCCAGGGTGTAGGGATGTCTTGTAGGTGGAAATCATTTGTGGGGCTAAAGCTTCTGATGGCTCTATTCTTTCACAAGCCCTCCCTTCAAAAAAGGAAATACACACATACACAGATAGGTCCTAAAATCGAACTGGCACCCGTGAGCCTCTCTTCCCCGGGCAGGCGTTCTCTGGAAACACACTTCTTTTATTAACGGATGGGGGGGGGGCCTCGCCCTTAGGATGAGAGGGGGAGTCAGGAGCAAGCAAGCCGCCAGGGGCTGGCAAGAGAAGGAAAAGGCGTGGGGCCAACATTTGGAGAGGCGAGGAGGGGGCTCAGAGGCGACGCAATGGCTCGCCCAGGTGCCGGGGGTTCGCAGGCAGGACGCTAACTCTCCGTCACTGCCACCTCGACCCCTCCGCGGGCCGGGGCGCGGCTCACCTGGTCGGGCCCTCGGTCCCCCAGGCCAGGTGTGGCCGTCCCCGGGGCCGTCTGCAGCACCCCTGCGGGGGCGCGCTCAGCCCCCCCCCCCCGTTTGCAGCACCGTGTGTGTGTGTGTGTGTGTGTGTGTGTGTGTGTGTGTGTGCGCGCGCGCTCCTCCTCGCCCTCACCCTGCTGTTCCCCCCGCGGACGGCAGGGCGGACACACACACACACTCACACAAAAAGAAAGTTACCGGCCGGCTCTGCAGCCCTTGGGGTCTCGGCGCGGCCCCCGGCCCGAGGCGCTACTCACCGGGGTCGAAGTCAGGCACCGCCGCCTGGTACTGGGGGCCGACCCTCATGCCGCCGCCACCTGCGGGGGAAGCAGAGCAGGCGGTCAGCGGGCGGGGTCGGGGCTGCGGGCGGGGAGGGGTCCAGTGGGGCGGGCGGCCACCTACCGTGCTCCTCGTCGCTCGACGAGCCCGAGCTGCCTTCCTCCCAGGAGTTGCTGCTGCTGTTGCCATTGGGCGCCGCAGCCGCCAAACTTTTATTCTGGCCATTATTGGGGGCGGCCGAGGTGGCGGCGGCGGCGGCCGAGGCTGGGGTGGCTGAGGCGGCCGAGGCAGCGGCGGCTGAGGCTGAGGCGGCCGAGGCGGCAGCGGCCGAGGCGGCCGCGTTGTTCCTCCCTCTCCGCTTCCCTGAGACCTCGGGGCCCTTCTCCACCATGGCCGGCATCGGCGGGGGCCGGGTCCTGGCGAAAGTGGCGGGGAGCAGCGGCTCCTGAGGAGGGGGCGCAGGCCGGGAGGAGGGGGCGCGGGCGGGGCGGAAGCCCGCGGACGCGAGTTAGGGCCGGGGGCGGCCCTGGCGGGCGGAGCGCGGAGCCGCTTCAAGCCCCCCGCGCCGAGCCGAGCGCAACTTTCGCTCTCAGCGCCGCCCGCACTTCACGGCTCTAACTACTCCGGGAGCAGTGAGCAGGGAGGGGGGAGGGGCGGGGCCTGGGCGAGCGGGGAAAGCCTCGCGCAAACAAACCCTACGCCAGAGGGCTCCGCCCCCCTCCCGCTCCCATTGGCTCTCGTGGGATTTGGACGGCAAGCGGCAACGCGGTTGGCTCTCCACTCCCGTCCGTCTAGAGGGCGGGGGAGCGGGGAGGGGGAGACTCCGGGCTTCCGTTGGTCAGGTTCGGTTGACGCGTATCGCCCGCTGTACGTGGTTTGAGGTTTGCAATCTCTCTACGCCCCATGATCCATTTCTCTAGGCAATAGCGAGCAGTTAGCTGCCCTCTCCGCCCCCTCCCCTCCGCTGCGGCCCCCAGCCTCCCACCTGCACACACACCCGCGGCCTCTGCCCATACATTCCCCAGAGGGCCCCACTGAGAGTCCCATCGGCTGCAAAAAGTAAAATACGCCCGACGCGAGAGTAGAAATGGAACACAAGGCCGGGACTATTTTCCCCGTCTCGCGGAGGACTACACTACACACTTTGAATGGGATCTATACAAAGAGGGGAAACTAATTGGAAGAAACTAATTGCACCCCACCTTTCCCGAGGGACCAGGGGCTGTACCCAGGGCCAGGGAGCCATGGTGCAAGGGAACAGCGTTCCCAGGTGATAGTTTCCCCCGGAGAGAAAGGAAGCAGTGTAGGAGCTCGGGGTTGTGATGCTCTTGGCTAATTGGGTAGGGGGGAGATTGGAAGTCGCGGATTTCCCAAGTGGCCCGCGCGTCGCCGCTGCGGAGGCCTGCGGGGAGGGGTCCCTAGCGGCTCGCGGCCTCTACCAGGACGCCGTGTCCGGGGCAGCGGGGACTGCTTTAGCCGTCCTTGATGGCCGTTTACAGATAAATGAAGGGGACCGAATTGTCGGGGGGCGGGGGGCACTTACAGAAATGAGGAGGGGGACGTACAGAAACGGGCTGGGGGCCGGGGAGGGTAGAGAGGAAGAAGCTATTTCCATCCTAAACCCTCAGTAGGGAGGAGGGTCAACTTCCTCCGAGGCAGAGCCACTTTTCCGGATCTGCTGCTGGCCCTGCCTCCCCCACTCACCCCAGCCCCCCAGCGAGGAGGAGCGAGCCTGCACAGAGCGGGTGGGGGTGAGCCAAGACCCATCCTGAGACACCCTTGCCCTGGAGAGCGACCCATGGCCGGCCAGGGGCTGCTTTAGAGCCGGATGGGGTGTGGGGAGAGGAGTGTGACTCCCCTGGGAGGCCCTTGTCTCCCCCACCCCCACCAACCCCCCCCAAAAACAACGCTCTGTTCGTAGATAATTAAGAGGCGAGAGGTCTATAAATGAAATCTTTAAAAACAAAAAGCAGAGGATGGCTATTTTTCTTCGATGTTACTTCAAACCTGAGCTTAATATGGGGACAGTTTTACACCAGCTCAGGATATAAATAGCTACAGGGAGAAATCTGGAGTTTTATGGTTTTAAAGCCTGAATAAGTAATCAGCGTTTTCTCTTCCACATTTTCTGCAGCATGAGCCGTCGTTATTAACCTCATTGAAGTTCACTTGTGCCGAAATGGCCTTTCAGAAGCAGGGCTGGAAGCCCTGGCTCTGGAGGAGCCCTGCCCCCACCAGGTTCACGGTCATGCTCCCCTCACAAGGACGCCCTTCTCCTCGCAGAGCCCTGGGCACTGCAGGTGTATGCCCCTGGAATGCTCCCCGACCTGGCCTGGGTAGGGGTGCACACAGAAGGCAAAGGGCGAGGAGCCAGCAGTGGCACTCCCCACCGGCGCCTCACGAAAGGCCCTGCGCCTGGCTGTGATTAGCTGGTGAGCACCGTGTGAGGAATGAGGTTAAGAGCACTCTGCCCTGCTTCCTCGGTGTCTACAAGTTCCACAACCACGCTATGGAGAGATTAACCTTCGAGGGCATAAAGGTCATAGTAAGCCATTTATTAGGGCAGCAGGAATGAGAAGACACATGGGGTCCCCTCATCCCACTCACCAACACCCATGGTGGGGGCCACTTCCTTTTTTCAATTTTTTCAAATAATATTTCTTGACCGCTAATATGAATACCTAAGAAGCCCTCGTGGCACAGTGTTAAAGAGCTTGACTGCTAACAAAAAGGTTGGCAGGTCGAACCCACAAGCTGCTGCTTGGAAACCCTAAGGGGCAGTTCCACTGTGTCATATAGGGTCGCTGTGAGTCAGAATCAACTCAGCAACTTTTTTTTAGTTTTAACATGCATACCTAAGGAGCCCTGGTAGCCCAGTGGTTAAGCACTTGGCTGCTAATTGAAAGCTCAGCAGTCTGAACCCACCAGCTGCTCTGCCAAGAAAGATGTGGTAGTCTGCTTCCGTAAAGATTTACAGCCTTGGAAACCCTCTGAGGCAGTTCTACTCTGTCGTACAGGGTCGCTGTGAGTTGGAATCCACTGGATGGCAGTGGTTTGGTTAACATGTGCCAGGCTGTTTTCTAGGCTGTCTGACTCCAAGCCACACTGATACTATATTGGCTGAGAACCCCTTTAAAACGACTTCCTCATTCCTAAAACGCAGATAATAGTTCCTACCTCCCAGCCTGATGGACTTTTGCAGAGTCCAACTCCCCTGCCCGACTCTCCCTCACCATTGGGAACCGTCAACCCTGGTGGAAACCCCCCCTTCCTGTCCTGCCCACTGCTGGGGGGAGGGACGTCTACACACAACCTGGCGGAACTCAAACCCGCTCCCTACCAGCCCCATCGTGTTCTTCACTGAGACTCTCCCACACTACCAGACAGATTTCACGCTTTTTTTCTCTCCTTACACCGCCCACGGCCCCTCCTGCCCTCGCTCCCAGCCAATGGCCTCACCTCACTCTTTTTCGAGAAAAACTGAAGCCATCAGATGGGACCTCATCTTCCAGTCCCCAAAGTGACAAGTCTCCCTGCCGCTCCCCACCTCCTCCTCAGGCCCTCCCACCCTGACCTCAGGCACCCAGCTCCTGCCTCCCCGACCCTGGCTGCCCCCCTGCACCAGTGGCCTCTCACCTTCCCCTGGGTGGGCCCATGAGCAAACACCTGTGTTCCTGCATCTTCCAAAACAGGGGGAAAGCCTCCATCACTCCCGAGCCCTCTCTTGTTTCCTCCCCATTTCTCTACCTCCCCCACAAATGACCTCCTCCAAAAACTTGTCTACACCAGCCTTCTCACTCCCTCCTCTGCCAGTCTCTCCTCCCACCCCTTGGCTGCCACCCACAACTCCCTGCTGCCCAATATAGCTGTCATTTCTGGGTCTCACGAAGCCTCCCAGCAGCACCTCAGGAGTTGACCACTCCTTCCAGAAACTCCCTCACTTCTCTGATCGCTAGACATCTCTCTCAGCTGTTTCTCCTCCTCCCTCACTAACCGCTCCCCCTCAGTTCTCCTTTACAGTCTCCACGCCTCGTTCCCACTTGTTAATGTCAGAGTTCTTCCTGGGCCTTCTTCCCTTCTCTGTGCCTGGCTCATAGTAGGTGCTCATCAAGTATTTGTGGAGTGAGGAATGAATGAATAACAGAGAATACTAGGTGCTGTTGAGTGCACACAGCTGGAGCCTATCCAAGTTTGAGGAGTGAGAAAAGGCTTCCTGAAGCAAGTAGCATGGACCTAAGACCTGAAATATGCCCTATAAGGAGCTACTATTGGTTTTGTCAGCCCAGCATCTCCCTAGGGTAACCTCCACCAAACACTTTCCCTCCACGTGGTTTGCTTAGGGCCTTCCTTCCGCGACCGCACATGACACAGGTCTGGCCAATCAGAGCTCCCCCAGCACACACGCTGCAGTGATTGGCTCAGGGATGGGCACATGACCTAGTCAGGCCAATCAAGCCCCTCTCCGGAGCTTTTCGACACTCTTAGGAAACATCTTCACTCTTTCTGAGATCAGGACGTCCTAGTCCAGCATGCTCCAGGGAGACCTCCTGGCCCCATCCAGTCTGTGATAAAAGGAGGGCAGAGAAGGGGAGAATGTGGCTGAGGCCTGATCCTTGCCCACACCCCCACCCCCACCCCCACAAACTAGGCCTGAAATCCTGGCCCTTTAAATGGGGCGGTTTGAATTTCTGTTAACAACGCAAAGAATCCTGAATGATACAAATAATGCATAGTTGCCTGGTGAAGAGCAGGGGCAATGATTGCAGGCAGAGGCAATAGCCCCTGTCATGGATTGAATTATGTGCCCCCAAAAATGTGTGTATCAATTTGGCTGGGCCATGATTCCCAGTATTGTGTGGTTGTCCTCCATTTTGTGATTGTAATTTTATGTTAAAGAGGATTAGGGTGGGATTGTAACATCTTACTAAGGTCACATCCCTGATCCAATGTAAACGGAGTTTTCACTGGGGTGTGGCCTGCACCACCTTTTATTTTACAAGAGCTAAAAGGAAAGGGAAGCAAGCAGAGAATTGGGGAACTCATACCACCAAGAAAGCAGTGCCTGGAGCAGCGTGCGTTCTTTGGACCTGGGGTCCCAGCGCGAAGAAGCTCCTAGTCCGGGGAACATTGATGAGAAGGCCAACGGAGAGAGAAAGCCTTCCTCTGGAGCTGACGCCCTGCATTTAGACTTTAGCCTACTTTATTGTAAGGAAATAAATTTCTCTTTATTAAAGCCATCCACTTGTGGTATTTCTGTTATAGCAGCACTAGATAACTAAGACAGCCCTTTTGCCTCACCTGTGAAAGGCATAGTCATAATAGCTATAGTCTTTAGGGTGTGACTGTGTGCCTGGCTCTGCTCTCAAGTTGAAGTCATTAGCTCTTTTAATCCTTGCAATAATCCCATCTGGTAAGCACCATTATGGCCATTCCCATTTTACAGATAAGCAAACTGAGGTGCAGAGAGGTGAGATAATCTGCCTAAAGTCATGCAGCTGGCCAGTGGCAAATCCCAGGCATCCTTCCTAGGACAGCTGGAAGAGCAAGGGGCAAGGAGATGTGCAAGAGGCCTGTCTAATTGTAAACATATAGTGTTTATAATTCT